ACAAAAGATGTCAATGAACCACGAGGAATTCCTGCTTCTGTGTCTGAAGAACATTGTGATAGATAAAAGAGCATTTAAGAACGACTGTCTGACAATATGGAAATATATAAAAATATGTAAATATTAAAATAAGGAGCTAACGTAGGAGCACATGTTCAAAGAATAATATAACAGCTTGACAGGGCATGAAATTCCAAAAGCTGGTAGAGTTTTATTCAAATTAACCTGCAGCTATTATTGCAGTCAAAGGTGCTTCTGCCATGTATTGGCTTAAGAAGGTGAATATGCACGCAATCAACATATTTTAGGTTTTGGACTGTCACTGCAGTTTTTGCAGACTTTCATCTTCTTTAACCCATGAAGAAATCACACTTTTGTGGGTCTCCTCTGCCCTGCCCACCTTTGAGCCTGCTCGTCCTCTCCTTCCCGTGTGTGCGGTCACAGGGTTCATAGCTGTGAAAAACACACCTTTTCATATCTGTCTGTGACAAATCGGGTGGGTATATCTAAATTCGTGAGAACAACAAAAATTAAAATGTTCTGGCTGGGAGCTAAAGGTGAGTAACGGTGTCTGATTTAGTCTAGCCTCCAACTTTCTGTGTGCTTCTTGCTTGATATTCACCAGGCTTGGTATTTAACAGCTTAAAACACCTGATCTCCTGTGCCCAATCAAATCCCTCACTAATGAGATTATTGAGTGATAAGGTAACAGTCACTCAAGGGTTTCAAGGTCAGTCATAAAGTACCCAGTAAATCAGAATTATGCAAAACCCTTTTAATCAATATCCAAAATCTGCACACTTAATGTTTGTAAAAAAAATAATACATAGAGTGTTAACTCACTGTATTTATACATCTGTACTGATTAAGAGTATATACTGTGCATTCAAATACATTCATCTCGTTCTTCTTTCTCTTCTTCATCCTAGTGCCAACAACTCTTTTTCCTTTCAGAGAGAAAGGAGTAAATTATAGCTTGCTGGAAAGGGCTATCGTGACAAACTCTCCAGTCTGACTCAGAAACTCTGCTAGCTGTGAGTTCTTGTAGATTGTGTGGTAGATAATTTTTCTCTATTCTGGTCAGACACACAATGTCTGATAACAATACAATGGACATGGGAGATGAGGTGTTTCATCTAATATCAACAGCAAACAACTCATACTGTTAAAACGTATTGTCCACCCTTGGAAGTCTGGCTTTATTTATCCAACAGCTGGACTACTGAAATAAATTATTTGAAATTTTTTATGGCTCTGTGGCCCTTCCAAGAAACAGAAATAATTCTTTTCTTCTGGGAATTTATTATCACATTTGTATTTCAATTGCATATAGAAAAGTGTAAATAATGAATTATTTAATCATCTGAATATGAATATAAATAATTTAAATCTAAATATACCTCAGGCAGGTAGCAAAGGCCATCTAATTTTGTTTGCCTTACTTAAATTACTCCCTGACCAAAAGAAGCACTGCAGTTGTTAAAAGAGAACCACACCACTATAAAGAAGGGTAATAAAAATAACCCTCTTGATTTACTGTAATAAACAAGTTGTTTTTGTGTTGTATTTCACAGAGTTAAAATGTAAAAACTTCAGTTAAGTCAGTCTTTTCAATGGAAATATAAATAAATTTGTTCTGTGCGTTATGCAGGTTATCTCCAAACTATGAGATGCCCGTGACTGCAATTTGCGTGTGTATGAGAGGTAAAGTTTGAACAACGGCCTAAACGCCACCTCTTTCCTGTACTTCCAAACCTTTTTGTGGTTTCTACAAAATTCTACCCATGCAGTTTCAACGTCCTGTGGAGACTCTGGTGTTTCCCAGTGAAGAGGGGAGTGAAAAGACAGGCTGAAGAGAGTACTGTAACGGAACAGTTCTTTCAGACACTATGCGGACGACACGATCCAGGGAAAAGTGAAGAAACACGGGGAAAAGATCATTCAGGATACGGGGATGAAAACAGGGGGCGTGTCCTTGGTGCGCTGGTGTTCGGGGGAGGCGTGGCCGAGGCAAACAATCCGGGAGAACATCCAAAGGGGAATCCAAACGAAAGTAAAAGTCCAAAACCAGGCGGTCCATCCAAGACAAACAAGATTTAGGAACAGGAACAGGAAATAAAACCTTGACGGGACCAGGCGCTTCCAGGTCCCGGACTCGCACGATACGGAGATCAAATGCAGAGCCCTGAATAAAGTGAGCGTCTGGCTTTTAAGGAGAACTGAAGGGGTTAGAACAGGGAGCTGGCGATGAGTGGAAAACAAGGAAGGGCTTGAGCGTCCTTAAGAGGAGGGGTCTACAAACGTGACAAGTACAGGGTGCAGAATGCTACAATATACTTCATTCTGATCCAAGTTCTTTAACGCAGTATTTCTCCAACTTTTCCATCCTGTGGCACTTACTCAAATATAAAACGTCTGAGGCAATTAGCCCTCGTAAAACACACACATGACAAGTCCAAGCACATTTTTCATGTTACAGACTAAGCTTATTTCTTATTTAATATGATTTTGCATTTGTAGTGAGTTGCCTTATGCTTGCATATCCTTGCCCCAAGCCTATACTATAAGCACCTAAAATCACCAATCTGGTCTTTTCAGTTTGGTGACAACATGTGGATGCTTTTCTAAGGCTGAGTCTTCTGTCTGAGTCAAGAAATACAAAATGATTTAGCTGAAGACGTAATCAGATGTAATCCAATCTAATAAAACATACTGCATTTTTAATTAAAATATGAAAAGGGAAATATTGCCTCCATCAGTTACTGTACTGAAAAAAATTACACCAGTTCTTTTTAAAACCAGCAACATTATATAATTTTTCTCAAAGGCCCAAGAATATCGTGCAGACTCCTGTGTGTAACATCAGACAGTGATGAAAGGCAAATTGCTGCAACAGTTTAGTGACATTTCTTGGAGACTTCTTGCAAGCCTGTGTCTTGGATTGCAAGAGTCTAAACAGGGGATAAAAAAGAAATCCTACCCAGGGAATGGAATTCATTGTGAGTGAAACACTTACTATAGATATTGATAACAGTTATATGACTTTCTGACAAAAGATGTTTTGCATAAAAAGATTACCATTTTTACTTGAAGCTGTTGATCAATTTTGTATTTCAGGTTTGAAAGTTATTTTTTTAGTGTAGATGGAAAGTTACATTATATATAACCTGGGCATCATTTTTGTGTAATATTCAAACTGAAAATTTATTTTCCTCCATAGAAGTCATAGAGTAATTGATACCTCTTGAAATCCATCATGCGTACTGAATGTCATTAGTTGTATGGAAGAATTTCTAAGGAAAACTAGAATGGGATAATCCACCGTAATACCTAAACCAGTGCTGGGAGAAATTTTGCTATTGAGTACATGTCTCAAAGTGGTGGCAAATTCAAATACAAGTCTATTTGTAAAAAAATGTATTTCTGATTGCTAGGTATGGCAGTTCAGAATATTTTGATTTCATTTAATTACTGTTGATTCAACCAGGGGTTAATGTGACTGTTTTTACTGTAATGCAGGAACCAGTTAAAGTTGAAAATGTTCCAAGTACAGAGAGAAGATGCAATGAAAACAAGCAAAAAGTGGTATTTCTGCGATTCCCCTTCAATCGAAAATTATGTGTTCCTAAAGTCTTGTACTCTCCTGTCATTAAGAGGAAGCTGGAAGATTTGTTTTGACCTAGATTAAGGGAATGCTATCTTTTCCTTGTGATTTCACAAATCTTCCTGCTTCCTTTGAGCTAGTCCCAAAATGTTTGCATCCCCCAATGTATATCTTCACAATAGCAACAGGAGTCTTGCGACAGTGCAGGCACAAGTTAATTTTCCCAATATTAAAGCCTCACAAAATGAAATACCTTGCTACAATCCTTAAATTAAATATAAGATAATTCTCTTTTACATCCCTCTCTAAACGCATCTAATGTGGAGGAGCTCTCAACTATGTACAGTACTTGAAAGTCTTATTTCGGGTTGAGATTCAAGGTCAGAATGTCTGCAGAAGGCTTTAGACTCGGAAAATAATGGAGATATATCTTTCACAATGGCAATTAGGAATGATAGGGAAACATGTACTGTATAACACCCCTTGAGCAATGCAAGATGTAACAGCATGCTGATATGCAGCAGAAATTAAATTTCTGAGGAAAGGAAGGCTCAAAAACACTTAGAATGGTTTCTCCATTTAGAATGGTTTCTCTCTCTGTATATTATTAGAAACAGGCACCAATGTGGCTCCACTTAAAGTCTTTATGCTGTAAACATGTACTAGTGTCATTTGCGTAATCCCTGTGGATGAAATGAACACCATCTACATTCTGGTCACACAGCTCCTGAGCTGTTTTGAAAGACAATGAGTTAAGGAAAGAACAGTGTTAAACCGTCAGTCTAGTATTAAAGCACAAATTCATCAACATGCAGTGCTTCCTTGTGCATAATGTATTACTTGGAATCTATGAATACATTTAGAATTAATTTTAAATAACCGTCTTGTGTCTAATTATTTTGCAGCGTTATTTAAATTAAAGGCACATTAAAGTAAAAAAAAAACGTGTTGCCATGTTGCAGATGGAAGCAGTTCATTTAAAGTCGGCAAAAGTACAATAATTATTATTGACTATGACACTTTTTTTTGCTAACTTAGAACTTTTATTTGGGCCTGTGACACCTCACGGTGTCCTCGACGTTAGGAAAGCAGCTTCTGTATATTAAATCATCCGATTGATGCTTTATCTAAAGGAACTTATATTTGCACCTATTTATACAGCTGAGTACGAAGAGAGCAAGGATGTCCAGCACAAACGTATTTTAGGCATACGTATTGCTGTTGTACTGTCCTGGTACTGTATAAAATCTGATATAAAAGCAAAAAGGGTGTAACTGAGTGTAGCATTTTGTATTTATTATCATTCCGAAGGCAGAATATCTTCGGTGAACTACGTGCTCTGTGCCAGAAGGTGGCGCAAATAAACCGATTTTCCCAGAAACCCCAAATAGTGAAACAGGGAGGGCGACTGCTTCTGTCGTACCTTCCTGTAGCGGGGAGAGAAGTACTGATTTAGCGTCAATATGAGAAGAAGGAAAGGAGGGATTCTGTTTCAAGCATACTTCTTAGAGGGGTTAAATAAACAACGTTCAAATCGGATAACCTTATGGACATTTTTTTTTGTAAGTGACGGTGAAATGACACCCCAAATAAAAAGGGAAGCAAAGTGAGAGGTCTATGTTTCATACCGGTACTATTTCCTTGACGCAGCGATGTCATCGTTAGATAACTTTTAGGTAAATGTCACTGTTGAGGCTGGCAACGTTATGAAGCGGTACTTCGGAAACTTTGAAAACAGGCACGAAAAAGTGTGACACTGTCTCCGGCCTCTTCAGCCGGATTGGGCATTCATCGTCATCCGTGAAGTTTCTGATTGTCTTCCTTTTACATCCCCCCGGTAGGTAGTGTGAAGTCTGCGCGATTTTTTAACGTTAATAATTTTTTGTTTTGCAATCATTGCATCGTCTTCTGACGGGATTTGATCACACTTATAACGTTATACCTTTTTATATTTTAGAGGAAGAACATGTCGAATGCTGCCCACGTCTCTAAAGTGAGGTGCCTGTACAAGAGGATACTGTTGCTGCACAGGTTTCTGCCCTTAGACCTCAAGGCTCTGGGGGATCAGTACGTCAAAGACGAATTCAAAAGGCACAAAACCGCCCCTCCAGAGGGAGTCAAATGTTTTATGGAGGAATGGGAGGCAAGTAAAAGTGTGATTTTCTTTAAGATGTGTATCAGAAGGCGTTTTGTTTTACATTGTTTTCTTAATTTCCCTGTAACCTGATGGAAACTGAGACTCGTAGTTCATGCCTTGTGAATGTTTCACGACGGTGTAATTTTGGTCACGGGAGACAGTGTCTGCCAAAAGTCCAAGTCAAAGCATTAGAAGAGATGTAAATGATTTAAAGACTCTAAACGTTACACTAGAACTTCATGCTTGTGTCCTCTAGGGCTTTTACTCTAGAGATACCCTTAGTCCAGTATAGTTCAAGTTCTGCATTAACTAACGTGAAGCATGCTGGTGTTTACATTGTATTCATACTGCACTCAAAAAGAACATTACATGGATCAGAAAATCAGTGCATCGTTAATTCATCAGGCTTTCAGTTTGTTTCAAATGTAATGAAATATTTAAAATTGACAACGAGTCAGCAGTTTAAATTTTAACGTGGTCCATGAACATGTACTTTATACATAAAGCATAAATAATCCAACAAACCACATTATTGTTTTTAGAATCTAAGAGCAGTTGCAAAATAAATAGATGGCCATTTGGCTCATTAAAATCATTTAGTGTTGGCTGCTAATTGAACAGACAGGCTCTTACAGCCATTTCCTGTTGAAGCTCGGGTATCAGGTGGTCACATCTCTCCATGGTCCTGATCTTGGTCCACTTCTTCTTTGTATTCTGTATATTTGTCACTGCTGGGTCATTTTCTTTGCAGATGTTGTGTCAGTGTTCTATTTTCATGCTGATGACAACCAGATTTCTGTTTGCATTTGGTAAAATGCTTTTTCTCTTTTGTCGTGCTGCTAAGATTATGTTAGAAAACGGATACAAGATGATGTTTTTATCTGAACTCTGCTAACACTGAAGTTATGCTGATTGGCTCTCATCATCTTTGCAACCTTAATTTGACTCCTTATGGTCCTGGGACCAGTCTAAGTGCTTGGCTCAGGAGTATAGGTGAAATCTGGCATTTGACACTCTCGTTCACAGTCTTTTTTATCATTGTAAAATTACATTAATCTGTTCAAGTCGGTGATGCAGAGAAGCTGATTCATTCCTTTGCCTTTTTGCCAGGTTTGCCTTTTGTAATGTCTTATTTGCTTTTCTTCTTCAAACGTGTACATAACAAGCATGTTCAGAAATGAGGTACTTGCAACATAACTAAAACTGAAATGCATGAATAATAGATTTGTTTCAGTTTGCTTGCACAGGCCCATAGATGGCTCGATATACAGTGAAGCTAGGGCAGCTCCCACTGAGAAACAGATGTGGTAGACGAGGAAACCTGCTTGCCTGCCAGGGAAGTAATGAAGATTAGATACGTCACAGTTGTGGCTAGGATTAATCTTGTGATGGAGAAGAGCAGATATGAGTTCAGTGCTGCGTTAAAGGATAATGCTAATGTAGTAGAAGTTTCTCCCTTCTGTTATTTTCATAAACAGTCATTTTAAAGTACAATTTGTATTCTCTTGCTAGATAACTGCACCTTAAATATCTGAATGTCTACAGCATATCATGAAAATGTTAAATATGAAGCTATACATCTGGAATGAGTCAAGCTTGTGTCTTGGAAAGTCACTATGAGCTACATTTTACGTAGATGTTGTTAATGTCGTCATCTGTAAATAATGAAGGACTTACATTTGGGATTCAGGAGCCCCAAGACCCCCTATAAGAACATCACCCAAAGTGTATTTGACTTACACGTTGATGTGTTTTCCAAGACAAACGGTGCTGTCAGAACTGATTTTCAATGAAGAAGCTATTCCTGACAGTCGCCACATGGTGGCAACATATACTCATAATCCTGTTGTCTTCATCCTTGAAACGTGACTAAAATTGATTAAAATCACTCAATTGTACACTCTCAGTCTCTCTCCTTGTCTTTCCAATGGTTGTTTCTATTAAACACGTTTGATGTCATTCACATTGCAAACATCCTTCTAACAGACTCAATTGTAAAGATGACAACCAGCAATTTATCCATAAAAGCGGCTACAACTTCTGATGTGTCTGCCCCAGGATCTTCTTCCCTGTGGAAACTGATGCTGTAATCAGTTCATCATTCATGACACCTGGTGGTGTGACTGTGCAAGATACGTACAAGTGTGTTAGCTCAAAGCACTTTACATGGGGTACAGTATCGCTCAAGTGTTTAAAACTGTTTTGTGCAACATTGTTTTCCGCAAATGTGTGTGGCTCTTCCATCTATTTTCTAACCTCTTAATCTGATTCAGCGTCACACAGGAGCCAGAGCCTATCCTAGAAAGCAGCAGGTGCCAGGCAGGACACACACTGGATGGGATGCCAGTCTATCACAGAGCAGACACACACACACACAGTGCTGACCACAGCGCCACCCCTGTGTGTAGTTCAGTAAAACTGCAATGGAGTTGATAATTCCACTCGCTGTAAAGCGCCAATTCCGTTTAAGCGTCCTGGTACAAAGCTTTGAGTCTTCTCTCTCTTCAGGATTGTTACTAATTCTGCACTTGATCAAATGTGAGATGGGATTGACCTCTGAGTCTCAATCCATTTTGGAACCGACCCCAGCTGTGCCAGCGGGCATTCGGTATCCGAATCCTGGCTTCGGTTCTCAAGCTTAATCAATTAACTGGACTGCTGAGGTGGTAAAATAGGTCAATAACATCGGGCTGAGGCAGTTACGGTTATTAGCTGATCAGAAAGTTAGCGTAAGCCATCTTGAGCTCAGTTTCATCAGAAAGAAGAAGAGCCTTGGTTCAGAAGGACCAGAAATGGGAACCCCTGCTTTAAAGCCACACCTAGCACTAGCCATGTGGCCCCAGCGTGTGCTGACTTTCCCATCACAGCGCTCCTTCGGTTCATTTGTACTTAAACGCGTAGCTTTTTGACATTACCAGTGTCCAGCAGAGGTCGCTCTTGAGCTTCTAGACCTGAGCGATGAAGGGGATTGTTAGTTGCTCAGAGAGGATGCCGAGAGAAACTCGGGCCGGAAAAAAAAACTGCCTTGTCTACGGTACTGGTATCATGACGCATCATACAGTTGGTTTCTCCTGAAAGTTGAGACAGTTTGAGAAATTCTGCATAACATAGGTCCAATGTCCCAGGTCCCGGTGCTTGGCTAAGGTGAAGCGAAATAATAGAGGCAGTGGGATATACATTAAACCCACTATTTACCCCAGCGGTAAAGGCAGTTATAAAGAAACCGCTTTATTAAGAAACCGTATTAAGAAGTTGATGTTTCTTTCGGCTGTTTTCCTGTTCATAGCAAGAGCTTATTGCCGTGGTAGTTGTATTACCGTGACGGCTGAAGGCAATACCTTCAAAACAGGCCCTTTTCATTATCTGCATATGCTGCAGGTGATTCAGGGGAGAAATAAATTCTGGTAATAAGTGTTAACTGCTCGGAAAATACCACGTACTCAGCGGATGGTGGTAACGGAAATAAAAACAGTAGAAACAGTCAATGGTATTCACTAACCTTCTGCTGAGATTTTTACTTTCAGAATGAACACTACATTCAATTGATTTTGCTTTAATTACAAAAATCCAGATTCATTGGATCTTTACAGTGAAAACAACTTTGTTGCATTTTTTCCACCCACAGCCACGAGCACAGCAGAGGCTGAACATGTTGCATGGAAGTCTTTCCACAGGGGGATTTTACAGCGTGATGAGTAATTGGGATTGGGAGACATGGAAGTCTTTCCACAGGGGGATTTTACAGCGTGA